TGCTTATAGCTGTGTTGGAAAGATGTTGCTACTTCTAAAAGCATATCCACAAAGACTAAGAATCTAGATAATAAAGAGGAATTGAACAGCATCTAGATTGAGTGAGCCAGGTTATTCAAACCATTCTATTTTTTGTAACACTATAATTAACATACTTTTAATTAGGATATCTATTTTCCTTCCCACTCCCATAAATTTTTTTTTTTTTTAGATAACTCTCAAAATAGTTTTGGGATTTTGAAAATTCAACTCAGTTTTTGAAGAACTTACATGTAAAATAAAAAGTTACCCAATGCTAAAAGCATGTAGTGAGGGCTGGGGACCACCATGGGATTTAGTACTTCTGTGTTTTACAGTATTTTTCAGTATACAGGAGCACTGCCTCACACTGGAACAACTTATCAGCTTCCTGTAGCTCCAGTAGCATCTTCAGTCATCACTGTGGCGAGGTATGAGTAAAAACAGAAACTGCCTAGAAGGGCAGAGGCAGCATCCTCACAAGCCTTGAAGAACATAAATAATTAAACTCAGCACCACAGCACCCCTCAAACGGTGCCCACAACAAGAAGTAGAAGGAAAATATAAGTATTTTTATTTTATTGTCCCAAAAGTATCCTAACCATGGAATGCATTTTGATAAATGCATATTCATACTTAAAGGGAAAATATGGCCTTCTAAATAACAACCCATATTATTGCTGCATGCATTCTTGGGGATCTATAAATTAGAGAAAATTCTAGAACTCAAAGGAGAGAGAGAGAGAGAGAATTAAAAAGTTGGAAAGTCTTGTGCCCATCTGTCTGCTATTTTGGCATGTTTACTTAGAGAGAAAGAGAGAGACGAGGAAATTATTCCCAGAGCATCTCTGCAGTCCTCTAAGACAGGGGGTATTTTTGGAGTTACAGATACATATTGTTCAGTGCACAATCTAAAGACTCATATTTTACCCATATGCAAGGAGAAAAGATAGACAAAAATATTTGTCTCTATGATTCAGTTAAAATGTTTTATAACTCTGAATGTCATAATGTTACATCTACATAAAAAAGGGTCTTTTCTGACTCAGACATCTATCTTTTCATCTACTTTAGACCAGAATTTTCTTAGTGGAGCCAGGGACATATGTCCTAGGAAGAAGATAAAGATGCTGTTCAGTTATGTAGGGATGGGATTAGAAAAGCTAAGGCACAGCTGGAGCTGAATTAGGCAAAGAATATGATGACTGGCTAGAAGGGCTTTTACAGATATGTTGGTCAGAAAAGGAAGATGTATTTCCCACAATAAATAAGACAAGAGAACTATTGAAAAATGCCATGGAGAAGTTTGAGGTACCAAAACATTTTTTTTGGTCCTCAGTTTTCACTGGCAATCTCTTTTCCTACATCTGTCAAATCCCCAAATTTTCAGGCAGAGATTGGGGAAATTAAATCTCCACCATTGTAGTAGATCAGTTTTCAGATCACCTGAGGAACCTGAGCATACAGAAGTCCATGGGATCCAATAAAAAGTCTTGAGGGAAATAAAAGATGCAGACACTAGGCCAATTTCCACCAGATTTGAAAAACCAGGGAATCTGAGGAAGGCCCCAGTGACTGAAGGGATATCACATCTGTTTTAAGAAGGATACTTAGGAGGATCCAGGGAAGTACTGACCACTCAGCTTCCCCTCCATGCCCAATAAGATCACAGAACAGATCCTTATGGAAGTTATACTGAAGCATATGCAAGACAGAAATGTGACTACAGACAGCATCATGGCTTCACCAAGGGAAAGTCGTGTCTGGCTTAGCCACAATAATAAGAGGCCATAGACAATAATGTGACTCCGTCAGTAGCAAGCAAAGAGCAATAAATGTTATTGACTGGATGTTATCTGCCTGGATGCTTTTAAGAAATTTTTTAAAATCCCCTATAACATTCTTGACAATAAATTAAAGAAATATGAATTTTTTTGGATAGACTATTGGATGGATAATGAACTGGCTGAATGGCCATGTACTCAAAAGCTGCAGTCAACAGCTAAATATCCAAGCGCAAAGTAACAACCAGTGGTGTCCCTTAGGGTTCACACTGGGACCAATACCATTTTATACCTTCATTAAGGACATAGACAGTGGGATTAAGTGCACCATCAGGAAGCGTGTGGACTTCACAAAGATGAGTATTGTCCTTGGTGTACTAGAGAGAAGGGATGCCATGCAGAAGGACTTTGAAAGGCTTGAAAATTGGACCAGTGGGAACCTCAAGATCAACAAAGCCAAGTGCAAGGTCTTGTACCACCATTGGAAGAAACTCCAGTATTTTACAGACAGATGAATGAGATAGCTTCATAGTGGTGGATGAAAATACTGGACAAGAGACACCAATATGCACTTGTGGCACAGAAAACTAACCACATCCTGGGCTGCATCAAAAGCACTGTGGCCAGCAGATTGATGGAGGTAATCCTGTCCCTCTACTCTGGACCCCACCTAGAGTGCTGCATCCAGTTCTGGGGACCCCAGAACAAGAAAGCCACAGACCTGTTAAGGAAGGTCCAGAGGAGGGCCACAGAAATGGTCAGAAAAGCTTAACTGGGACTTCAACCTGGAGAAGAAAATGCTTCTAGGAGACCTTATTGGAGCCTTGTAATATATGAAGGTTACTCACAAGAAAGATGGAGAAATGTTTAACCAGGCCTACAGTGGCAGGACAGGGGGCAAAAAAAAATTTATTATGAGGTTGGGGAGACGCTGGAACAGGTTGCGTAGAGAAGTTATAGATGCTTCATTGTTGGAAGTGTTCAAGGTCAGGTTGGATAGAGCTTTGAGCAACCTGATGTAACCAATGTCCCTTCCCATGGCATCAGGGTTGGACTGCAAGGTCTTGGAAGGTCCTTTTGAACATATGCACTTACAAATCAAACACCATTGAAACACACCAGATTTACAGAAATATGACCTCCAGTAACCCAGACTAGAAGAAAGGGATACAAATATTGTTAGTATTCAAACCATATGTAATAAAGTGACACTTATTTTTTAACTCTTATGAATACTCATGTTTGTTTTACACATGGCTGTTTTTCTAAAGAAATTTTTGTTTTCTTTTTAAACTCATGAAGCAAGCAAAAAAGACGTGTAATTCACCTAATATCTTCCAATGTCCAGGGAGAGCCTAATGAGCTCTCAATGATCACATTTACATTTTACCCAGGAGGAAAAAAAATGCAAATATGTTCACAAAACAGATTTCCTCTGATTTTTAAGTGTATACACATTTTCTGAATATCTTCTGTTTTTCTAATTCAAACATAGACTTTCGTAATAAAGAATAAATTCCATAGTGTCTTGAAAGTTACATTTGCCACTGTTGAGAAGCAATATTTAATGTCAATACACATATGTATTTTTCCTAATCCATTTAAAATCCTGACTACTGTTACTTTTCTCTTTCTCCTAGAAATGTCCCTCTTTTGTGCCTTTTTGCCTGAATTGCACAATTAAAAAAAATAGCATTCTGACTCTTTCTTCTATTTTGTTTGTTTTCAATTTAAATACATAAAATAGGAGTTCACCAATGCAAATATTGCACTCTTCCCTTTAGGTTTATAAAATACAGAGAGGCAATAAAACATTTTAAACCACTTATAGTGGTTTACACTCATCTGTATCCTTCAACAATGTTAGTTGTAAGAAACCAAGAGAAAACTTTTTAAAGAGATACATTATATAATCTTTTTTTACGGATAAAAAGCTACCAGGATTCTGAGTATATATGTTGTTTGACAACAATCAAAACTGCAATTTGTTTTCTTGTGTCTTCAGTTCTTCCTTTTTTGTCCTTTTGTTTGTTTGGTTGGTTTTTTGTTTGTTTTTATTGTTGTTTTGTGTGGGGTTTTTGGTGTATTTGGTTGGTTTGTTTTTTCAGGTTTTTTTTTGTTTGTTTGTTTGGGTGTTTCTGAGTGCCAATAGTGCATGCATAAATATACCAAGATATCTTTTTATATTTCTGGCTTTAAATTGAAATCTCTTTCCATCATAAAAAAAATTATTTTTTTCTCTTTTCTATTTAATGAATGATCAGAATCAGGTACAAAAAAATCTCAGTACTCTGATGAACTATTAAGTTGTTGAAAAACATGAACAGATAGCTCAGCAACAGAAGACTTCTGTGTTCCAAAACAGTACCTACTATGAAAATAGATCAACTTTGCTATTAGGAAAAACAAGATCAAAAGTCCTTGTAAAAAGACACACAAACCAAATTACTATACTTTAGGCTGTGTATCTAAATTGCCAGAAATATGAGCATTTGAGCATTTTGTATTCAGTTCTATATAAACTATAAGCTTTTTCACTAGGATAACAAATATTTCTAATGTCTGCCATTTTCTGCCATTTTTTAGATTTTATTTTTTCTGTGGAAAAGTAGAACCTCAAAAAATAAATAAACCTTATTTTGAACAAAAGTTTGGTACATGCTATGCACCATGATTATGGAGTTTCTTATCTTTTTGAAGATAATGTCACTGTACTCCTTAAAACCCCTTGATTCCCTATTACCCACAACACAAATTCCATTAGTGTATATGGCCTTTATTTTTTGTATGTATGTCTAAAAACCAATTTGCACACAAAATTAGTAAATACAGATAAATAGTAACACTTTCCTTCTTCTTGCCATTGCCAACTGTTTTAAAACTGTGAGGACTCATTCTTGATTGACTTTCTTCTTCTTTTTGTTTTAAACATGGAATAGAAATTATTTAAGAAAAAGATACCAGTTATCAAAACATTATACATTTCCAGTCCATTTCTTTTTAAGGTGAAGGCAGTTGTCAAAAATAATGTAGTTTAGCCCAGTTTCCATTAAAAAATGGACAGAATTCAAAATCCATCATTGAGATTTTTCTGTTTTAAAATCAAAACTGAGCCAAATATCTATGATTGATCAGTGGAAAAATTCAGCAATAAAATATTTCTGTGAAAATATTTCTATGAAGAAAAGAGTCACTTACCTAAAACCCCCAGCCTGTAATTGATAGTGACAACAATGACATTTCCATAACTAGCGAGAATGCTGCCATCAATCATGTTTCCAGTACCCTCCATGTAAGATCCACCATGGATGTAGACCATAACGGGTTTCTTGCTGTTCTGATCATGAATGTCTGAAAAAATTCAAGTAAGGAAAACACAATAAAGCAATAAAAACATAAGGAAAATGGCATTAGCAATTTTTAATAGTGCTTACAATAGTCTTAATTACTTATGTTTCCAATGTCACCACCCCTATACTTGCTAGCTTACACAGTTCAGGACCATCCTACTAGCCTAATATTTATAATTTAAAATTTCAAATACTATTTCCTCTAAAATGGTCTCACTTCAAATGCCTTCAGTATTACAGGAAATATAATTTTAATAGAAATGTCTTAAAGCCTAAAAAACCAAATTATGAAATAATCTTGGTTTCTTTAGAATTCTCGGCTTCAAAAATATACCAATTTAGAAATGTCTGTGCATCTAATAATAAAATTATAGTAATGATCCATACTTTCCCATTTCTTGTGGGACATAATTATTGAAATTATATTCCCAATAGTTCAGTAAGAGACAATAGCAAAAACTCTAACTGTTCTGGTAGAAGAAAACATAGTAGACTGTTCTTTCTTTTAAACAGCCTTAGAGTTAACAGAGAGGATTTATGTGAATTTATGGCACACATTTTTTGCATTTAAATCAAATTATATTTTTTGTGTTGCACTTTTCCTGGTCTAGTAGCAGCCAAGCCTCAAAGAACAACCTTGAGTTAATGGATGATCTTTTGTATAGGTAGAAAATTCTTGGCTACTTTAAAAAAAATAAACAGCTGGCTCTTTAAAAGAAAGATCAATGAAATTGACAAAACTTTAAAAAATTCTAAAAGAAAGTAAAATGAAATTGATATTACATATGTAATAGTGAGTTATAAAGATGTGCTAATCAGTGATTGGGGTATATTTGGGAGAAGGTTAATCTAAAACGTTCAGCTCTTGATGCCAGTGATGATTCAAAATACCTAAATCTGAAATTGATGTTCTCTACAAAACAGTGTGAAGAGAGGTTAAGCTCCTCTATGAGGTAGAAGGCAATTCAGCAAGCTACCATTAGATATACAAATCTTCTATAAATAATTCAGTCTTTCTGCATGGAATCAGAGCACTTCTTTCAAGTGTACAGCACAACATACAAGGAAAAGCAGAGCTTCTGATTATTCAACCAGATTTTGAAGAAAATCTTTTGGATAGGCATATATTGAAGAGCGGAGAAGGAAGGTGAACAAAGGAAAAGCTGAGCTAAATACCTACAGGTGAGGGATCTACATTTGAAAAGCTTCCAAACATCCTCCCTCCCCTCAGGCTGATTAGGAAATACTGAGATAAAAAAATGTGATCACCAATGAGGTACCAGATAGTCAGTGTTTTATATATGTGGAATTAATTAGAGTATATTTAAAGGTAAATTTTGAATACCATATTCTTGTGTCCCACTTTTGCTTTACTCTTGTGTACACCTTAAATATCACAAATTTCCAGCTGAGTTCAGGAATGCCCAGGCTACAATGTACACCTGTCTACTTGTCGGAGTTTAAGGCCTGTCATTGATTCTGCCTGCTTTCCAGGAAAACACATATCCATACATGTTGTATTTTACATGTTGTACTTGAGCAGCAGAACAAAAGATTTTGTGATAAGATCTTTTTAATTGTTGTGACTGTAAGAGTAGTACAGCAAGTAAACTGTTTTTAAACTGTCATTTAAAGCAATGAGGTGCATTCTAGTAGATCTATTTATTTTTTTTAATTGTCAGCATTTTCAGCAAAGTATATAAAATTGCTTCTTCTCTGAAGGCACAGCTAAGATCTCAAAGAACCTGAAAGCAGAAATTATTTAACATAATTATTCGTGTTGCTGAACTACCTTTCCCTTCTCTCCCCAAAATCTCATGGCACAATTTGTTTGCATTTAATCTTTTCTTATTACCTTCTTATTACCTATTCTACCTCAGGGTTGAATCTTTCACTGTTGAAGTCAATAGAAGGTTTCCCCTTCCTCTTCAATGAGAACATTATTATTTTCAACATAAAGGAAATTAGCTGGATGCTTTATGCTTAGATGCTTAGATCTAAAATGAATACCTTTGTTAATCATGAAATCCTAACATTTCATCAATTTTTAAAAAGGTTGAATAATTATGTGTTCATAATCTAGTATTTATCTTTGAAGCAACTTTGGTTTTGCCTGTTATTTGTCCTTTACTTTAAAATTAACTTCAGAATTTGGTATAGAAATGATAATACCATCGTTTGAAAAAAGCCTGTGTTGCACAGAAATAGGAAGCTGATAATCAGAAAGCAACAGAGTAGTTCTAGAATACTCTGCACAGTATTTCTGTGTTGTAAGAAAAAGTGTAATTCTGCAGTGAAGGTAGTGGGGTAGAGGGCAATCAGAGTAAATCAAAGACCTGGGGTTTTTATTATGGTATTTTATATACAGACAGAGTAGCTACAATAGACCTGAACTCCCAGGAAAAGAGATGATAGTATCCTCACTGCAGTGTGTATGATTTTAAGGGAAATAGAGAGGACATGTGTTTCCAAGTAATTTGAAATTATGTCAGATGGGGAAAAAAAAACAGGAAAAAAGACATGGAGTAACACTTTGGATTGGCCAAGCCTGAGAGGATTAGTAATGTTGCTTTGAAGCCAGACCAACAAATTATCCAGGATTTTTGTCTTCTCATTTAATGTGAAAATGTTTTTTCTTAATTTGGTAAATACGTGTGAACTGACGATGTAACTTTAATAAAAAAGAAGGGTGAGAATAGAAGAAGATTTCATGACTTCTTTCTATTTTGGTGCATCCTAAATAGATTTGTTGCGTCAAGGCAAGAAAAGAAATTGTTTCCATCTAAAACTTTTTTGGGGTATTTCACTGTGAACTTTTAGCATTTCCTTTCAGGAAACCCAGTCCAACTTTGAAAGAAGTCAATGAAAATGATTGTTACTGATTTCAGTGGGAATGTGGTCAGAGTCCGAATGAATGCGTCTCAGAGGCTAGCTGATTACAGGAAAAACACAATAAAGCAACATCAACAGCTTCCTTTATTTTTGTGTCCTGAAATAAACCACATCCTGTGAGAAAAAAATATAAATAAGTAAATAAAAATAGCAAAGACAAAGCACAATTCAACTGTATCAATGTACAGCATGTGCACTGGGGAAACAGTGGTAGTGAAAGGAAGGATATATGTGAATTTTTTTCATGAATTTCAAACAAGTGAATATGCAAAATGTGTAGGAGGGAAAAGAGCACATGCATGTTTTTAAATTCCATTTTCTCAGCCTAAGAAAGAATATAGGGGAAAAATTTGTGGTTTCAAATAACATTTATGTTACTCACTTCACACATATTTAGGAATAAATTTTACACCTATGTCACGGAGGAACTGCAGTCATCTATATGCTAATTTAGATTTTAAAAAGAAAAACAATCAAAGCAAATTCTAAAGAAGAAAATAAAGAAGCGCACTGATGTGAGCTTCTGCAAATAAGGGACTAAAAATCATGTTGAAATAACAGCAATAATAATAACAATAATAATTCCTATTATAACAAAAATTGAAAAGTTTATGTTCATGCATCAGGGTCAGGCTTTGAAAAAACAAAAAATACCTTCATCTTCACCACGATCATTACTGGTTATATCATCTGCGCTTTTCTTTGTGTTGGCTCCTGGGTTCATATTGAGGAGGAGAATAAAGGGAAAAAAGAGAATTCAAAACCAGCAGGTTCTCAAAAAGAAAAAAACCACTAGTACAAAAAATGTAACAAAAATGTCAAAATCTGTTACATTTGAAATTGAAAAACAAAAAAGATGCAAACTGCACATAAACATAAAATGTCAAGAAGAACAAATTGAAAATATTTGAAAAAATGTATCATATTCTGTGACAATGCAGTACTTTAGTTAAAAGTGATTTCTTCAAAAAAAAATCAAATTAATGTGCTATTAAAAAAGAATAATATAAACCAAAAAAGTATGTTAAAAATTACAAAATTATGTTTTACATAAGAAATGCAATTTTTTTATTCTGTTCTGTAACCTTGAGGAAATAATGCCTTGAGTTACTTTCTTCAATAACTTAACATTTTATTCATCTTCATTACAATTTATTAAGAAATAGCCACAACCTGAATTTTGGATGGAAATAATGCAAATAAAATGATTGTTTGAGTTTCACAAAACTTGATTTGACCAAGACAAAACATAAAGACCTCCTTAGAAATTAATCTTGTTTTCCATATGAGCAAAAAGATATTTAAAACAAGACTGTAAACAAAAGTGAAACAGAGTTGAGTCAATGTCTATTCATGAAATTGGTCCAAAACCAGCCTTTGTTGAAAATATACCTCATCTCATGCTCTTTAGAAAAACCTAGAAATTCACTGAAAACATTCACTTACCATGATAAAGAACTTGCATTCCTTTATCAGAAGATTTAGGGAAGAATTTTTTTTTAATTTGTATTCAATATGCTTTCTTAAACTACTTTTGAGGTGTACACATGCACACACACAGAGGCACGCACACACACATAAACATTTATGCTCATACATGTCACAGCCTGTACTTATGGGAGCAAGAGGAAATAAACATAGTTTTCACCATGCCCATCCTTGGGCAATACTTCTGTTTTCTGACTAAAGAAATAAAAATACACCAAGCTATCCTAGCATTCTATAACACTATGCTTATTCCCATAGCAAGCAGCCCTCTGTAATGTAAACAGCTACTTGATAAGGAGTGAAACACGAATAGGAAACTCAGTTTATAATTTAGCTTAGAAATTAACATAGCTACTAAAGAAATAAAATGGCCTAAGCATGCTAATCATTATTTTCTTGAATTTTCTTTATTTTGAAGTGTCTTTTCAATACATGCTGAAAAAGAACAGTATACTTTAACTTGTTTATGTATGAAGTCGAAATTTGTAACAGATACATCATATTTAAATAAATATTATTTACTCCTTTTATTTTCCAATTTAAATTTTACCATTAACTATATTTATATCCCTCAAAATCCAAGGCTTCAATTAAATCTTAGTCTATGATTGTAAGACAGAATGTCTTTATTATTACTAAAATATTTAAGATTAAGTATTTAAGATTTTTTAATATATACAGTTTTAGGATCAGTGTACTAGTTTATTTGTCTTCCAGATACCCATTTTCTACAGGCATTTTCTGGAAGCACTTCCACTATGTATGCAGTGATGATGACTAGTGAGAAAAAATGTGAAAAGCAGTGATTGATACTCTATCTCCTCATAAAGTCTCCATCTTCAATGCTGTTGTACAAAAGATATTGTTTATCCAGTACACCTGTGGATTCCTTATATATATATCCAGTACATAATCAACTAGGTAAAATATCTCTGTCAATGAAATATGGATGTTCTCCAATCCCCATTTTCTTTCAAAATAGATACAGGCTCATAATCTCAGCCTCCATCTGTGTTTTGTCTTTTTATTGTTCCAATTACTTATAGCCCAATGAAGGTGCAATACTTTCTCAGGTGATACACAAATAAAGTAAATTTTGTATTTAAATAAACGAAGAACTCAACCTTGCCCTTAAACTATTTTTGATTCATGTAAAATATTTATGAGAAATAGTTGTTTATAGGCAATGAATACATATAGACACAAGTTTGAATGTATATAACAAATTTCAATACTAGTTTCCCCAGGGAAGTAGTCTTTTAATTGTTTGATAAAAATATGATCATCATATGGCAAGTATAAAATCAACTACCACATATTTTTTATCTGTATGAACTAAAAAATATCAAAATCAGTGTGATCCCATATATGCAGTACCTGTAGACAAAAACTGTGTCTACAGTTATTAGGACTGTAATCCCTATTTCAAGTATTTTTGAGTGAAAGAAGTAATTGTGTCCCAGAACACTTTAATTTGAGTACTATCTTGCCACAAAATCTTCAATACACATATCAATAACATATTGCAAGGATTTTCTCTTTAATGTGCTTCCCAGTGTGGGAAGCACATTAAAGAGAATGGTTCAGTGTACTTCTGATAAAAACAACGCAAGTGTAATGAGAATTTGGAAAATGTGCTCACATCATGCTATTAGATCTATCACCTAACAAGCTATGTGACATAAGGTTATCTGTAGTAATTGAAACACCCCTTATTCCATTTTTATGTCCTCCAAAGTGTAAAATATCATGTTGTAATCCATTTCCAGAAGAAATTACTATAACATAGTATGTTTTTATTTACAATGTGAGTGGGAACACTGTTTCTCCTACATGCTGTGAAACAATAATTTTCCTATTGGCAATTGGAATACACTTTTGTAACTAAGTTCATGGGTTTGAGAGGATTTTATACTCATTTTGAGATCTGGTTAGATGGATTACATCAATGAGTTCTCAAACCAAGTTTCTGTGCTCCTATGACATTGGACTTTTTTCATACTATGCATACCAGCCATGAAATCATGCAATTGTTAAGGCTGAAAAACATCAAGTCCAACTGTGGCCCTAAGTACCATCTTTTAAATACCTCCAGGGATGATGACTCAACAACTTCCCTGGACAGACTGTTCTAATGCCTGACCATCCTTTCCACAAAGAAGTTTTTCCCAATATCCAATTTAAACCCCTGCTGGTGAAACTTGAGGCCATTTCCTCTCACCCTATGCCTTGTTACTTGGAAAAAGAGACTAACCCCCAGTTGGCTACAAACTCCTTTCAGGTAGTTGTAGAGAGTGATAAAATTTCCCCTGAGCTTCATATTCTTCAAATTAAACAACTCCAGCTCCCTCAGTTGCTCCTCAGACTTGTGGCTAGATGCTTTACCACCCCTGCTGTCCTCCAATAACAGAACATTCCAGTGCCTCAATGTTCTCCTTGCAGCGAGGGACCCAGAAATGAGTCTCCTTGAGCAAGGGACCCAGAAATGAGAGGACCCCTTTGAGTACAAGGTCCCCTTGTACTCACCAGTGCTGAGTACAGGGGGACCTTAACTGTCCTGGTCCTGCTGGCCACACTATTTCTGATACAAGCCATGTGGGTGATACTGTTAGCATGTATTAGTAAGTTGCTGGGAGCTTATATTTTTGAAAGATTCATGTGATTTTTCTAAGCAATGCTCCTAAGTATTTTAGGTGGTTTGGGAGCTACTGAAATAATTCCAACAATGACATCTGTTGTCCTCAGACTACCTCACACAGAGAGAAAAAATTTGAATTTTCCAACCATGTTGCGGTTTTTTATTAAAAATGTCAATTCATTACTCCTTAGACTTCTAAAAAAAGATGGTAATCCCTGTCATAAGATAAAAAAGTCACTATGCCTCTAAGGTTAGTTTAATTATCTTGGAGACTGAAAGGAATCACAACTCAGAAACTCCCATTGTTCAGAAAAAAATGCCTGCCTGCAACAGCTGATTGTCCCACAGATCAACACTTCCCTCTGCTTTGGGGCTTCTTTTGCAAGTGTTCAGGGTTGGGCCAATTTTTTCCCCATATCTCATATTCTCCTTATCCCAAATCGCAGGAGCAGAAATTTCAACCTTCAGTTCCCATACACCAAGTAAACATAATCACTATATTATAGGATTTGGCCCTTCTGCGGTCTAAGAACTGTTTACTCATTCATCCCACATTAAACACGGATGGTAAATTTCAACAGCAACCCAGGATCCAGAAGTAGTAGTAATGATCTAGTGAATTAAAGACTGAATTCCCTGAGCATCCTTATTGACTAACCTGGTGTTTGACAAGAGTTCCTGGTTTGTAAAGTTTGTGTTTCACTTTTCATAATACTGAAAAGTAGCAGAAAAATATTTCAAAATATAATTAGGATGGAAATTTTTTTCCCAAACGGTCAAGGCTAGGAACTACTTAATTACATATGTTAAATATGCTGTAGATAGCATAGTTCTACTGAAGAATACATTTGCATAAAGGTTCATTGTATTTTAGAAAAATATCTTATTGTAAATGACAATTACTAGAAAAAGAAGTGACTTTGTAATGCATATTTTAAATGCATATTCTCTTTTCATTTGTCCTACAATTCCATTCACTGCTGAGCGAAAAGAGCGTGATGCAATGTATTACTGAACTTTTTCAAACCTCTTTTGCAAAGGATATTTTTCTGCCAGAAACTGCTTCTTTTTCATATTTGTGTATATATATATATATACATATGTGTGTGTGTGTGTGTGCAGTTTTGAAAACAGCTCCATTCAATTTGGTCACAACAAAGAAGGTTTCCATGGGGGCTATTTTTTTGTCCCTGTAAGAAGCACTCTAAGCAATGCAGTTGTAAACATTAAGTCAGAAAACATCTCTAAAATGTTTTGATTTTGAAACAATGATCAATGTGTTAATAAACTATTAAAAAGTAGTTGATTTCATTTATCTATGCATGAACAGTCACCATGTATTCCCAGACTTGTTCCAATGCCATGCACAAATCTATCAGAAATTAAGAAGTCACCATGCTGTAAGCATGTCCTCTGGCTCACATTTCCTTTGCATAATGAACAAAAATCTCATTCAGAAGCAAATTTTATGGTTTTGTAAGTTGTCCCAGTTGTACTGACAATTTATGCTGCATCTTCCTCTATTCAGACAATATGAATCACATATATGTAATAGAGGCAGGTCCCATGCATGCAGTTTACCACGCTT